TGTCTATCTGTGTTTCATTGACTATGCAAAGGCATTTGACTGTGTAGATCATAACAAACTATGGCTGACTCTGAGAAGAATGGGAATCCCAGAACACTTGATCATTCTAATGCGAAACTTAGACCAGGAGGCAGTCGTCAGAACAGAGCAAGGGAACACTGCATGGTTCAAAATTGGGAAGGGCGTAAGCCAGGGATGCATCCTATCTCCATACCTTTTCAACCTATATGCAGAACAGATTATCCGGGAGGCTGGGCTCTATGAGGAGAAATATAGGGTCAAGATTGGTGGACAATTTATCAACAACCTGTGTTATGTAGATGACACAACTCTGCTTGCTGAAACTGAAGAGGACCTGAAGCACCTGCTGCAGAGTGTCAAGGACTGTAGCCTACAATATGGATTGAGGCTCAATGTCAAGAAGACAAAGATTCTCACCACTGAACCAATTGGCAGCATCAGGATGGATGGTGAAGAGATTGAGATTGTACACAGCTTTAGTTTGCTTGGCTCCATAGTCAACAGTCTTGGCACCAGCAGCCAGGAAATTAAAAGGCGCATTACCATGGGAAAGTCTGCTGTTAGGGACCTCTCCAAAGTGCTGAAGAGCAATGGTGTCACTCTGGAGACTAAGGTGCGTCTGATACAGCCCATGGTCTTCGCAATCACCTGTTATGCATCAGAGAGTTGGACAATGACCAAGGAGGATAGAAGGAGAATTGATGCCTTTGAGCTGTGGTGCTGGAGAACAGTATTGAGGATACCATGAACTGCTAGGAAAACAAACAGATTTGTCCTGGAGAGGGTTAAACCTGGTGGCTCCTTGGAGGCAAGGATTCTGAGGCTCCGTCTAACTTACTTTGGACATGTTGTGAGGAGAGACCGGTCCTTAGAGAGGGACATCATGCTTGGGAGGGTGGAGGGACGGCACAGGAGGGGAAGGCCCTCTATAAGGTGGATTGATTCAGTGACTGGGATAATTGGGATGGGAGTGTCAGAGACAGTGCGATTGGCACAGGACAGAGCGGAGTTTAGGGCTGTTGTACATAGGGTCACTAGACGGCACATAACAACAACAACAACATTGTTGTTGTTAGATGACATTTAGTCTCTGAGACTCATAGCAGCAGCCCTGTGAACAACAAATTGGACCCTTGTCCTATCCTGTGCCATCCTCATAATCTACCATCCTCAAATCCATTGTTGCAATGTTACTATGTCAATCCATCTGGTCTTCCTTTCTTTCTCTGACCCTCTATTTATTCCCATTCTGGGGGAGAAGAATGGGCAATCTCCAATCTCCTCCCATGTGATTAACTGCCTCTGAAAAGCTGTTGGAGGGTCAGCTATGGGTCAATTCCAACTCTATAGTACAAAACCTAACAACATATAAGGTCAAAGAGCAACATTGGCCGAGAATATAGCTTAGAAGGCAGGCAAGAGTAGGATGGAAAGATTAATGGGAATAAGAATTACAGGGAGGAAGTGGAGAAAGTTTGAATATGTTGATGATATTTTAATTAACATTATAAAACAATGTATATGACTGGTTGAATGAAAAACTAACTTGTTTCATGAATTTTCACTCAATAGTTTCACAATCATTTTTCATTAATAATTGTTAATATGTAATTAGTATTTTATATATCTTATCTAATTTAATATTCGAAGACCATGTGAAGTAAGAACAATCATGACTTTTTTTAAAGAAAAGACACAAAGAAGCTATTTACCCCAGACCACAAAGTTAATAAGTGATGGAGATGGAACTCCGTGTTCCAGATCTTTCTGGTTCCAAGGTTTATTTTCCCCCCTCCAATTTCTCTCTTCCCTGTTCATTATTCTCACTTTAGTAAAGCCTCAGTAGTAAAAATATAAAGGTTTATTCACTTTCTGGAACTTCCCTTGATGATTCAACATTTAAGTTGGAATATTTCAAATTATTTCACTGTTCAGTGATAAATATTTCACAGACTTGTTCATCTGTATTTATTTGTCAAGTATTTTATCATTGCCAAAGGAAAAGAGCAAATGCCTAAACCCTATCATGATTTTACAGAGCCAAGAACAGGTTCACTTTGCATTTTTAATCCTACCCTGCTTTATCTTGACCCTCCCCACTTTTGGAGCGAGGTAAGGAACTAAGTTTCTAGGACCTGACCTGAGAGGTGACTTGGAACATTCCGTCTCTTCATCCAGCCAGGCTTAAAGCACTTGAAGAACCTTTTAGGCCTCACTTTCCATACTCACCACCATACAGAGCCTCCTTCACAACCCAGCTTCTTAGGGGATGATGGAAATAGAACTTGCCAAAGACTGCTCCAGAGAGAGGAGCCTTCTGTCTCAAAGGTCACACAAGGAAAGCCCCCAAAAGTAGGTACGCCTGTAAGTGAGGCCCAAAAGACATACAGGATTTGCATGGAAAAAAGGCCAGGATGGAATACCAAGGCTGAGCATGGCTACCAGCCCAGGGAAAAATCTAGTGCCTCAGACAGTGAGAGGAGGGATGGAGGGAGTGATTGAAACTCTCCTGGTGGAGGGAGAAGAGCTAGGCATGGGTCTTCATGTCTGGAAACTTGAGCAACAGCAAGCAAAGGGCTCCTTATGTCATGTCTCTCAGCCCGTTCTGGTTTAGCTCACTGAGCTCACCTGGGCTTTGTTAGAAGCTATCCGAGGGATCCTGGACTCTCAGCAGTGTGTCAAGCAGTGAGCAACACACTCAAGTCTGTGTTTGGAGATGAATATCATTTGAGATTTTTCTTTCCTAATCCCCAAAAACATTTCTGGTTTTGAGATTATATCAGTCTGAATGTAAATTGAATACTCAAATTTTTTTTGGTGATGTATTTGTTTAGTTTTCATTATTATCATTGCCTCTTATTTATCCATATCTTTATAAATCTAGTCGGTGAGCACCTTCAAGGGACCATCTGAAATGAAAACAACATTGCTTATTGTGTATATACATATATATACACACACATACACATATGTTGTTGTTGTTGTTGTTGTTGTTGTTGTTGTTGTTGTGTACCATAGAGTCAGAACTGACCCATAGCTGACCCTCTGGTGGGGTTTCAGAGGCAGTTAATCACATGGGAGGAGATTGCCCATCCCTCTCCCACAGAGCAGCTGGTGGCCTTGAACCATGTGCCTTCGGGACTGCAGTACAGCTTCTTGCCGCTAGGCTATCATAGTCTCGTCTTGTCTGTCTCTCTCTCTCTCTGTCTCTATCTATCTATCTATCTATCTATCTATCTATCTATCTATCTATTATCTATCTATCTATCTATAATTTGTTGTTGTTGTTATGTGTCGTCGAGTCGCTTGTGACTCATAGTGACCCTATGTACAAGAGCCCTAAACTCTGCTCTATCCTGTGCCAATCTCATTGTCTCTGACACACCTACTCTCACTACCCCAATTACTAAATCAATCCATCTCAATAAGGGTCTTCCTCTCCTGTGCTGTCCCTCCACTCTCCCAAACATGATGTCCCTCTCCAAGGACTGGTCCCTCCTTGCAACATGCCCAAAATATGTTAGACGAAGCTTCAGATGAGGTAATGGGCTTGAGTTTGTCAGGGATTTGTGAGGACAGCACAGTAGGACAGTGTTCAGACTGGTTGTTTATAGGATCACTATGAGTTATACTAGACTCAACTGCACCTAACAACAAATCAAATAAATACATTGTAAGTCAAGATATATAACTGTATGTGTGTGCATGTGTGTGTCATATATGTATATTGTTGTTAGATGCTGTCAAATGCAATTCATAGCAACCCTATGAACATCAGATCTGAACTCCGCCCTATCCTATGCCATCCTTACAATCTTCATCACACATAAGCGCATTGCTTCAGTCACTGTGTCAGTCCACCTGGTCGAAGATATTTCTTGCTTTTGCCATCTCTCCACCTCTCTGAGCATGATGTCCCTCTCCGAGGAATATCCTCTCCTAACAACATGCCCAAAGTGTGTATGTAGGAAGCTCTGGTAGTCTAATGGTTAAGAAGCTGCACTGCAATCCCAAAGGCTCACTGTTCAAACCACCAGCTGCTTTGCAGAAGAATGGGCAGTCTCCTGCTGTGTGATGTACTGCCTCTTCAGACCTGCTGGAGGGTCAGCTATGGGTCAGTTCTGACTCAATGACATATATCAAATTATATCTATCTAGATATAGATATAGATCTCTAGTTTAGGATGGTGTGTGGAGCAGTTGGATCCTACAAAGGTGTGTCTTCTTGTTTTGGTTGAGGCTTGGGTGTGGACTGTTTGCTTGGTCTCTGAGTTCATTCACAATTGGGTGTGAGCTGATTGGATTTTGCCTTGTATTTAAAAAGGAAGTTAGTTTTAATTGGTTTTGGTCAAACATTCTTCTAAGTGGCATAGCACTGGTCTGTCAATTTGCTGTACAAAAGTAACTCATGGTTGCTGTGATGCTAAACATTGTGACACTGATGTGTCAAATGCAATATTGGTTACTCATGGTGGAAAGTGTTTGGTGGAGCTCCCTGATTAAAACAGGCTTGGAACAGGAGTGACATCCACTTCTGAAATAGCTTGCCTCCAGAAACTCTATGAGCTTAGAGAAACTATGAAAGTTATACAAGTGTTCAGGTCTTTCATTCTAGGGTGGTTATGAGTCATCTATGAATCGACAGCACTTAGCAACAACAAATATTATACACACACACACACACACACACATATACATATATACATATATAAACACATGCATTTTACCTGAATATATGTGTGTGTTTGTATATATGTGTGTGTGTATTCATATATGTGTATATATATACATATATGTATATATATGTATATGTATATATGTACACATAAGTATTGCAGATTTCTTTTAGAAGCCAAAAATGGTACAATCTCTTAGTTTTTCATAACCATCCCTCTGTTTTAGGGAACACTAAATGAAGATATGAAATCACATTGATAAGAAAGAAATATGAGGAACCAAACCCATGTCTTGTTTTTCAGGTTTTACATTGAAAGCATATCATTTTTAAAGGACAAGACCACCGTGGAGCTGTTTTTCCTGAATGCAAAGTCCTGTGTGCACAAGGTAAGGTGCTGTGTGCACTACATTCTTTTAATGACTCCAAGGGAACTGGAACTGGAGAGAATCTTGCTTGCATTTGCATTTTCAAGCTTACATAATGTTTTTCATCATTAATTCTTAGCCCTAACCCCCCCCCCCACCCATGGCAGTTCTTCTCAAGTTCTGAGTGCTGTGGTTGGCAAAGGAATTCTGTCTATGCACGATGACTACTAGTTTACATGCCCCTGGCATGCCACATAAATGCTGCAGAAAGACAGGGCAGTCAGGGCTGGAATTGGATGGAGCCCTGTAGAATTCATCATTAAATCTTAACATCTTTTAGGATCAGACTCTGCTTTTGATCCTGTACATCCACCCACACCAGCTTAATACCTAAGAGAAAGGTCTATTGCCGTCTAACTAATTCTGACACTTAGTGACCATCTCTCAAGGAGCAGCTGGTGGTTTCAAGCTACTGACCTTTTGGTTAAGTAGTGCAGCACGTAACCATTAAGCCAGTTTAAATCCAAAGAAAAGCAGCATGCACTTAGGGACAGCACTGTTTATCTTTAATTGTTTTATTACTGTGGAGCTTTGGCAGCCTAGTGGTAAGGAACTATGCTGCCAACCCAAAGGCAAGTGGCTCGAATCAACTCCATGGGGGAAAGATGGACAGTCTCCTCCTGTGCAATTAATTGCCTCTGAAAACCTGCTGGAGGGTCAACTATGGGTGGGTTCCAACATGAGAGCTCATGGCAGCAGCAACATCATTTCCAAAAAGACAACTTTTGTAAAATTAGTGAGCACGAAGTACTTGGAAAATGATCTTGTGCTTGGAGTGGCAATCACTCCAAATTGTTAGAACAGTTTTTATGTGAGATGAGAAAAGCATGACATCTGTTTCAGAAAGACACAAGGAAGCAAAGTCACTCTCCAGAGCCCATGCCATTAGTAAACAGATCGAACCCTGTGTTCCTGATTCAGGAATCTCCTTTCCCTCCATCCCCTAAAGTTGTCACTTCCTTCCCTACCTTAGTACTTAACTTGTTCTTCTCACACACCTAACAGGCCTCAATCTGCACTAATCTCACTTAATGATGCTGTTGTTGTTGTTGTTGTTGTTATGTGCCATCGCTTGCAACTCATAGCGACCCTATGTACCAGAGCCCTAAACGCCGTTCTATCCTGTGCGAACTTTGCCGTCTCAAACACACTCATTCCCACCAATCTCACTTAATAGAACCTTATAGATAAAAATAGGCCAAATTTACCCTCTCTATGTTTGTCGAACTCTGTACAGACTGGTAACCAGCAGCACCACTCTGAGTAGGAGTGCGTTCGAGGCCTACAGTGGCCCCAGCAACTACGCTGGACTCGTCCACACTGTTGTACCAATGCTCGGCTCTCAGAGCTCCATGCCCAGACCCCAGGCCAGCCTCTGAGGTCTGTGGAAGCCCTCCTCTGCGTCTGTCTTCCTGGTGGTGTACTGCTCTGTCCATGTGCACCCTCCTGACTCCAAGTAGTAGCTGCATTCAGCTTGGAGTCAGTCACTGAATCAATCCATCTCATCGAGGGTCTTCCTCTCCTGCGCTGTCCCTCCACCATCCCAAACATGATGTCCAAGGACTGGTCCCTCCTTGCAACATGTCCAAAAGTATTTCAGATGAAGCTTCCAAATCCTTGTCTCCAGGGAGCAGCCTGATTTTACCCTCTGCATGATGAACCTGTTTATTCTTCTCACATTCATAGTATATTCAATGCTCTTCTCCAGCACCACAGCTCAAAGACATCTATTCTCTATCATCCCTAGTAATTTTCCAACTTTTCTGACATAGAGCTAAAAATTGCAAAGACCATGACCTGGAACAGGCACATGTTAGTCTCCAGATTGACATCATTGCTCTTCAGTACTCTGGAGAGGTCCCTAACAGAAGACTTTTCCAATGCAATTCGTCTTTTGATTTCCTCGCTGCTAGCACAAAAATGTTGATTGTGGAGTCAAGGAAACTGAAGTTGTCAACAATCTCAATCTCTTCACCATCTATCATGATGTTGCTAATCGGTCCAGTGATGAGCTTCAATCCATATTGAAGGCTGCAGTCCTTGACCTTCTGCAGCAAGCACTTCAGGTCCTCCTCAGTTTCAACAAGCAGGGTTGTGTCATCTGCATAACGCAGATTGTTGATGAGTCTACCTCCAATCCTGATGCAACACTTCTTCTTTTCATAGAGCCCAGCCTCCCAGATAATCTGTTCTGCATATAGACTGAAAAGGTATGCAGATAGGATCCCAGGCATACATACACCCTTCCCAAATTTGAACTATGCAGTGTTCCCTTGCTCTGTTCTGATGACTGCCTCCTGGTCCAAGTATAGGTTTTGCATAAGCACAATCACATGTTCTGAGATTCCCATTCTTCTCAGAGTCAGCCACAGTTTATTGTGATCCATACCATCAAATCCTTTGCGTAGTCAGCAAAGTTGACATTTATAATTCCCATGAAACAATCCTCATAATCAGGAGAGTGCATATACCCAGAAACTACAAATCTCCCTTTTCTCACCACAGGTTAGTTTATATTTTCTGGAGTTTGATATAAATGGAATCTTATAAGCATTAAAAGAAGATGGAAATAGTATACAGAATCATTGTACCTAAAGGAATTGGTAGACACAGAACAATTTCATGAAACTATGTATGAGCATGAGCCTGTCTTGATAAAGGAGGAAGTTCAAGCTGTTCTGAAAGAATTGAGAAAAAAACAAGGCCCCAGGAATTGATGGCATACCAATTGACATATTGCAACAAACAGACGCTGCCCTGCATGTGCTCACCAAGTTGTGCCAAGAAATCTGGAGGACAACCACCTGACCAATTGACTATATATATCTATATATTTGTTCCCATTCCAAAGAAAGGTGATCCGACAGAGTGTGGAAATTAACAAACAGTATCATTGATTACACATGCAAGCAAGAGTCTGCTGAAGATTATCCAAAAATGACTGGAACAGCACATCAGCAGAGAACTGCCTGAAGTGCAGGCTGGGTTTAGAAAAGGCCATGGCACTAGGAATATTATAGCTAATGTCACATGGATCTTGGCTGAAAGCAGAGTACCAGAGGAATGTCTATCTGTGTTTCATTGACTATACAAAGATATTTATGTGGATCACAACAAACTGGCTGACTCTGAGGAGAATGGGAATCCTAGAACACTTGCTTGTGCTTATGCAAAACCTAAACTTGGACCAGGGGGCAGTTGTCAGATCAGAGGAAAGAAAGACTGCATGTTTCAAAAATGGGAAGGGTGTGTGTCAAGGATGTGTCTTATCTCCATATCTTTCCAATCCATATAGGGAACAGATTATCCGGGAGGCTGGGCTCTATGAAAAGAAGAAGTGTGGCATCAGGATTGGAGGTAGACTCATCAACAATCTGCGTTATGCAGATGACACAAGCCTGCTTGTTGAAACTGAGGAGAACCTGAAGTGCTTGCTGCAGAAGGTCAAGGACCGCAGCCTTCAATATGGATTGAAGCTCATCACTGGACTGATTAGCAACATCATGATAGATGGTGAAGAGATTGAGATTGTTGACAACTTCAGTTTGCTTGGCTCTATAATCAACACTTTTGGTACCAGCAGCCAGGAAATTATAAGATGAATAGCATTGGGAAAGTCTGCTGTCAGAGACCACTCCAAAGTACTGAAGAGCAATGATGTCAGTCTGGAGACTAAGGTGTGCCAGATACAGGCCATAGTCTTTGCAATTACTTACTATGCATCAGAGAACTGAACAATGACTAGGGATGATAGAAGGAGAGTTGATGCCTTTGAGCTGTGGTTCTGAAGAATATTGAATATATCATGGACTGTTAGAGCAAACAAGTTCATATTGGAGAGGGTGAAGTCAGGCTGCTCCTTGGAGGCAAGGATTCTGAAGCTTTATCTGACATGCTTTGGATATGTTGCAAGGCTGAATCAGTCCTTGGAGAGGGATGTCATGCTTGGGGGGTGGGGGTGCAACGTGTGGACGGACAGCATAGGTGAGGAAGATTCAGTCACTAGGGTAATGAGGATAGGTGTGTCAGAGACAATAAGATTGGCATGGGATAGAGCAAGGTTTAGGGCTGTTGTGCATAGGGTCACTATGAGTTGCAGGTGACTCGACACCACATTAACAACAACAACAAAGTACATTATCTTTTTCTGTCTGACTTTTTCTTGTGAGCATTATTTTGAGATGTATTTGTATCATTCCTTGTATGTACTGATCATCAATTTCATTTTATATAGAATAGTATTCCTTTGTAAGGTCATACCTCAAAATAGTTTTCCATTCACCTTTGATGGATATTTGGATTATACTAGTTTGAAGACAGGTACAGATAAAGCAGCTATGCACACTAATGCCCAGATTTTTGTACATACATGTACTGCCCTCCACCTTTGGTAATTACCTAGGAGAAGAACAGTTAGATCACATGACAGATATGTGTTTAACTTGTGAAGGTACTTCCAAACAGCTTTCACAGTGTTGTGCTGCGTCACTTTCCTAGAAGAAGTGTATGAGTATTCCAGTTCCTCCATACCCTCATCAACACTTGGCACTGTCAGGCTGTTCTCATTTCCCAGTGCTTATAGAAGTCTGTTAAAGGAAACCTGGTGTCATAGTGTATTACATGCTGGGCAGCTAACTGAGATGTCCACGGTTCATGTCCACCAGTGGCTCCATGGGGAAAAGATGGGAAGTGTCCTTCTGATGAGATTTACCACCTTGAAACTCATTAGGGCATCGCCCTGAGGCAAAATCAGCTCAGTGGCAGTGGGATTTTGTTTGTTTTTAATCCAATTCTAACGTATATATTAGTTATGATTAATTTACTTTCTTTGTCATATGAGTTTTTAGATACTCTCACTTCTAAGACTTGGGCTTCTGTACGAATTCCATGTATTGACTGATGAGTAGACACTTGGGTAGCAAGTACAGCATTTGCTGAAGCAGAAAACATTTCATAAACCA